TCCCTCCAGCCTCTGGGGTGAGGGGTGGGTGCTGCCAGGCCCAGCTCCCCTGACCCATTGTTTGTTTATCTGTGAGGAAAATTGAGGTCCAGGTAGGATAATAGAGGGGTGGGCACCATAGGACTGCAGTGGCTGAGGAATGGGTGGGGGAGGGAGGAAGAGAAGGAGAGAGGGAGGGAGCAAAGGAGAAAATTAATCTGAGGGTAACAAGAGGTGGCCCTCACACTGCCTGTGATGCCCGGTGGGTGTGAGCTGACTGGGCTAGGCCTCATGCAGGCTGACTACTCTAGCAAGGGGCTGGACTTCAGGGATCCAGCAAAGAAAGGCAGCCCAGTGCTTGTCAAGGAAGTGTGATGCTGGCAGGATGTCCAGGGAGGGAAATGGGGAGCCACTGGGGGGAGGGGTGCTCAAGCAGGAAGCTCACCATCAGATCCCAGGGCTGTGGAGCAAGCAGGAAGGCAGAACTGCCAGCCCTGGGGATGAAGACTGGGTGACACTGACGGTGCTAAGGTGACCTTGGATCTGGGAAACAGACTCACCAATGTCCAATTAGTTGTGGGCGTCCGGCGCCTGAACTGCACCTCAGCTGGAACCTCTTCGGTAATGTTCCAATCCAGGCGTAACTGCCCGTCTATACGAGACGCTTTGATGTCTCCCAGAGGAGGGTTAAACTTGACTGTCGGGGTGGAGAACATGCCTCTGACTTGAGTGCAATTGTCCAGGTTTGCCCAGCACCACTCATGGGGTCACCTTGATGAGAGTGAGAGCCCCTGTCCACCCAGCTAAGGCTGGCATTCTGTACCCAGAGTTGGGGAACAGGGGTTTTTCCTCAGCTTTTGTTTTTGTTTCTTCAGTCCAGGGACTCTTGTAACTGAGGCTGGCCTTGAACTCATCATGATCCTCCTGCCTCCCAAGAGCAGGCATCACAAGTGTTCACCCACATGACTGATTTATGCTGTGCTGGGATGAAAACTTACGGCTCTCCATGTATGCTAGGCTCATGTCTACCTGTGGACTATGTCCCCAGTCTAACAATTTAAAAAACAGATTGCGTTAGGGGCTGGAGAAATAACTCAGGCATTAAGAGCACCTGAGAGGACCCAGTTTCAGTTCCCAGGACCCCCATGGCAGCCACAGCTGTCTGTAACTCCAGCTCCAGAGGATCTGATGCCTTCTTTTGCCCTCCCTGGGCACCAGACATACAGGCAAAACATACGTATATGTAAAATAAAAATACATAAGTATTAAAGAAAAAAAACGCTGGGGGCATGGTAAGAGGTGGAGTCCCCGTCTAGGATCCCCCCAGTGAGTGGCTGGGGGAGTAGCTCTAGGTAGAACATGGAGAAAACCTTGGTTCTCTCCTCAGTGTGTCCATCCCCTCAAAACAAGCATCTTGCAGGAGAATGTTCCCCCTGACAGATGAACATTTTACTGCCCTGGTTAATTTCCTGCCTCTGGGAGTTCACTCTGCCCGTCTCCATGGAAGGGTGCACAGCCCCACTCACCAGCCCGCCCACATCCGTCCCAGAACCTGCCCACAACCCACATCCTCAGCATGCACACTCAGGACAGGACTCTGTCAAAGACACACTGAGTCATGAAAACACACAGCTCCCAGGAGGGGCTCCCAGGACTGTGGGGAGCAGAGGATCAGGCTTTACCAGAAGAAACCTAAGAGCCCAGTGATAAGCTATTTATTCCCAAGCAGCAAGACTTTCTTGTCACACTGCAATGCCCAGTCCTTCATCCTGGACCTGGGTGACAGAGGGACAGGTAAGAAAGGGAGCTCACTCCACTCAGACAGGTACAGGGATATCTCCAGAGACTTCATGGTCCAGTTGCTGAGCCGAGACTCCACCCAGAATGTGACGGTAGACAGCACAGGGACACCAGCCTGTTCCGAGAACTGCACAGTCCTGGAACGGCCTGCGGGAAAGTAGCAGCAGCGTCCACCACTGAAGCTGCAGGAGGAGGGTTAGTGATGAGTCAGTGGGGCAGATGGGTGGATAGGAGGGTGGGGGCGAGGGAGTGGGTAAGAGAACCACAAAGGTGAGTTTGAGATTAAAGTAAAGGCTAGAAAATGAGCCGGGCATTGTTTAATACCAGTACTCAAGAGGCAGAGGCAGGAGGATCTCTGTGAATTCAAGGCCAGCCTGGTCTACAAAGGACATCCAGGGCTACACAGAGAAACCCTGTCTCGAAAACAAAAACAAACAAACAAGACTAGGAACCAGCGTGTTGTTTTCTCACCTCTGTAGTGACATGCACATCTTACATGACAAAGAGTGTCAGGGGTCATGTCAATCATGAGCTCACACTCGGATCTTGGCTGTGTGGGGTGTGGGGGACAAGTGAGGTTGTGGGGACAGGTCCTCACCAGCACCTCAGGAAGTGCGTGACATTGTCCTCAGAGCCATCGTAATGCCAGGAACATTCATAGTCTGCCCCGGAAACCCTGTAGCAACTCAAGTTCCTGGGTCCTGAGGCGCCTGTGAGAGATTGTAGAAGTCTGAGAAGTGGGGCTCTCCCAGCAGGAAGCTTCCCTTGTGCTAGCCCCAGCTTGTCCTCATCGGCCCTGCCAGCACTGTTTCTGGACCGACTTCCATGTAGGGATCTTTGCACCTGCTGGTCTTATGCAGGCAACACTGGGCACCAGCAGCTTCCTACCTGCTCAGGGAACTGCACTTAGTTCCTTGCAGTAGTTTGTTTTGTTTTTGAGTCTCATGAAGCCCAGGCTGACAACCTTATTAACTAAGGATGACTATGAATTCCTGACCCCCTGCCTCAGCATTCCAATGTCTGGGATAAGAGGTTTGCATCTCCACAGTTGGATTTCTGTACTTTTTTTAAACAGTAGATTTGGGACTTGTCTCTTGGAGTTCCTTTTGTGAAATTCGTTAATAAATAAAAATATCCCACTTAAGGACAGAGCAAGAACGTGTAGCAGGTGGTTGTCCCAAACACTGGCCCATGCGAATAACAGGGACTTAAACCCTGTGACCAGCTGTGTGGCAGGGGTGGGGTGAGGAACAGATCCATCGGCACTGTGCTCAGGGTGGCGCCTGGAAGGGACAGGCAGGGTCCAGCTGTGCTGGGGACCTAACAGCCTGGGGCCCAGGGTTGGGCAGCAGGACAATGGGAATACGCATGGGGACAAGGTGAGGCAGCCAACCCAGCTGTGGCTTTCAGCCTAGGAGGGGCCATGCCAGACCTGAGGCTCCATCTGGGTACAGTGGTGGCTTCTCAAAGTTGCAGCTGTCAGCTCTGCAGGAGACTGGAAGACAAGAGAAAATGACAGAGGAGGCAGAGCAGTGGGACAGTGAGCCTGGGGAGGGCACGGGGAGGAGCACCCCCTGCCCACCTCCTTTCCTGTCTGTGTGTTTGTCTGCCATCAACACAGCCAATGGAAGACCTTCCACTCACCCACCCGACATGCACCTCCCACCCCAACCCCCACCTGCCCACACACCCACCCTTGCCCACCCCCACCTCCCACTCACCCCCATACCCACCACCTAACCCCCCAAAGCTGTGCTGGTCCTCTCCTCAGCCCTCTCACTACCCCAGATTCTAGGCTCCCTCAGGTCTCTGTGGCTCCCGGCTCC